CGTCTCACAGCATGACTATTGTCATTTCTTTGTCTTCTTCTTTTTTACTGGCAGTTGGCGACCCACTGATATGAGCAGGTGGTTGTACTGCCCTCTAGTGGAGGAGAATGTCATTGTTCTGCCCGTTACTCACGCTGGTTGCTCAGAGTACTAATCAGGTGGAACCAGATAATCTTCCACGGCTCACCTGATCATTTCTCACGGCACACCTATGTCCCGCGCCCCAGTGGTTGGGAAACACTGGTGCAGGGGTACTGCCCATAGGCTGTATATAAAAGATGGAAGCTGCCACCTTACTTCACCTCTTGGTTCGTCACTTTATGCAGTTCGAGCTGAGCGTTTTTGGCCTCGCCAGCTTGGAGTAGGGTTTTAACTTGACCCACAGGTCAGCATTTGAAGGGGCGGAGCCAGGGCTTAAAGGAGGTGGAGCTATAACAACTAATTCCCGACTGTATCAGATAAAGAAGGATTATTTTGAGCTGTGAATCATGCAAAGCTGCTGAAACAATCACTTAAGCGTTTTAAACTCAGCAGGACACACCTGGGTAAATCCAGGTGAAGCCTCTTCAAAATAAAACGGGTGTGTTCTGAATTTTGACCTGCTGTTATTTGTGATAGGAGGGGCGGAGCTTGTCCAGGATGTCTCTGAGCCACTCACCTGTGTCGCCCATGACGGCCCAAGGTATCCCGTCGCCCGCCCAGCTCACCAAGGCCAACGCCCCTGTCCACATCGACGTGGGCGGGCACATGTACACCAGCAGCCTGGCGACGCTCACCAAGTTCCCGGAGTCCAGGTGAGAGACACGAGCCTGGGGGATACCTGGGCATGCAAGTATGTTTACTGAAGTGAGGTGAGGTGAAAGGCATTCTGGGTCCTTAAAGTGAAGACCGGAGGGAACATGTATGTTCACGCTTGACGACAGCGGGCTCGGTCACGTGGTGATGGTGATGTGTTCGACGGACAAAGCTGAACCAGTTCCACACCAGTGAAGCTGCAGCATTTTTACAAACCAGTTCTGGTTCATCGTTTCATTCAACGATCAGCTTTCGCTCTTCTCGTTCTCCGTCGCCGCCATGTGCGTATGTAAACAAAGGCGCTGCGCATGCACGTTTCACCCATGTTCTATCGCCATGTTTCATTTTCTTATCGTTGCCCAACGTTACACCGGTGTTACCGTGAACGGTGTGATACGGCGCAGCCCTCACACCCACACAAGTGTGTCTGAGTCAGGCCAGTACCAGCAGGTATCTACAGCCAATCAGGCTCTGATGTTTCTCCATCACCTGTATCCACCCACAGCGCAACCATCAAAAACACAATGGTTTCACTTCCTGCTTTAAAAAAACAATCATGGCCTGAAACAAAAGCAGCCATAATAACGTGATTAATGATGATGTGCGCTGTATGCTAATATTGCTCTGTGCTATAAAACATTAAAATGAGAAACAGCCCGTGGCGGGAACTTCCCCTAATTATTAAGTTAAGATGAAAAGGAGCATTTAATGGTGATGTGATGAATACAAACACCTGCAGCTGTTTAATG